GCGCAACCAGTAGGTTGCGGGCGGGGAACAGACCCCGGAGCCCGAGGCGGGCGCGGCAAGCCCCAGAGAGGGGGAGTGCCATATCAGTTCATTGTGAAGCCCGAGGGGGCGCAGCAGATCCCAGTAAGAGGCTGGGTATTGCAGAGAGCCCAGAGTGGGCTACACTATTGAGGAGGCCCGGGAAGCGGGCTGGGAGACCCAACAACGTCTATCACATCAGCGAGGCTTTGGGCGTGGTATCAGGGGCTGGTAGGAGCCACGCATAGCCCATAAGGCTAGGGTGCTTGGGGAGCACCCACTATACCGGGTGACCATAGGAGTCCGGGAGAACTGCGGGGACAGAGGTCCTGAGTAGCCGTGCCCAGGGAGTCATAGGCAGCCTCCCAATTATATATATATTCCATCAAGACGTGGCGGGCGAGAATTAGAGGGTGCCTTGGGCCGGCCTGACACGGAGCGAGGGACCTTAAGGAGCACACGGCCCTCCGCGAGGACCCCGCCGTGACAGAAAGCAACCTGAAAAACTACTAAAATTATAGCAGCTCATGCACTCTTTCAAGTTATGGTAAGAGATTCCTTTGTGGAAAGGGCTCTGGTCCATCTGTCTGGGCCTGTAGCAAGTATGATCTAGAGGAGTAGTCCCCAGACAGTCCCTACAAGTCAGTGGCTGTTTCAAGAACGGCTGTGTCCCCAGCAGGGAACAATGGAAATAAAAGGAGAGTCACATGCCCTCATGGACAGGGTGGATGACAATGGGAGAGAAAGCTGGATGCTTCCTCTCCCTCATCACCACTCATTGTGATGACAAGCAAATTTGGGGGAAGAAAAAGCAGGCAGAAAGGAGCAATAGCTACAGAAGAGTGAACAGACGCACAGAGGAAGGAATCACAAAGAGGAAGAGAGGGCAGTACTGGGTAGGAGGAGACAGCAAAGGAAGGAAGTAGAGATAGACATAGGGCAGAGGAATCAAAAACTGCAGTTTAAACAAAGTTGTCTTGGTGTATGAATGTGCAAACAGGAGCTCACATAACTCCTCCACTCAGCCACCCTGGCTTCCAACACCCCTTGGTCCAGGTCTATTCAGCAGGCAGCTTTCTGCTCTCTCCTCAGGCTCTCTGGTCAGGCTCAAGTCCCTTTTCATTGTTGCACCACCCAAATTTACTCTGATCCTGGCCCCACAATACTCAGACCTTTCTCCCTAGTAACTATATTATGGTGTATATTTTGTTTCTCCTTTCTCACCCCAGTTGCTTGAAATACTTGAAATACTCATCTTTTTCTTGCTCTCTCCTTGATTTAATCGTAATTCTTATTTTCCCCATTTCCAATTTCTGTATTTTTGGGCTGGTCTTTCAGAGACAGCAAGTTCACTTTGTCCCTTTTCTGCAGGCAATAAGGCAGGTAGGAACAGAGGCAATAAGGGAGGTAGGAACCACAGTGACTAGTGCTTGAGGTAGAGCAGGTCTGGCCTGTGATAGTGGCTGGGTCACTTTGCTGGCTGTGTAGCCAAACATGGCAGGGAATTTGGGGGAAGGGGGAGATCAGGAGAAAGGACCTCTCAGAAATCTCTGCAGGAGGCAGGCAGAGAAGGGTCTGGAGGAGAAGGTGCAGTCCCATGCAGATCCATTACTGCGTCATGGGCTGCCACATCTCATGGTGTGCTTTGAAATGCATGAGGATGTGAGAGTCCTGCCATGAGGAGTGACATCCCCACCCACTGCCAGATTGGGATGTATCGTATGGGGCATGGACGCACATAATGCTCAGGGCAGAAACACATTCTCCACCCTGGGCAGGTGCTCTGGCAGCTTGACGGAGCTTGAAGGGACCAATCCTGATCCCTTCAGGCCTCTGAGGGACCCACCTGGTTTTATCCATGTATAGAGAGGCCTGGGGCACATCCCTGTAAGTAAGGAAACCAGTGTGTGTCCCGGTGTGGAGGCATGGGACTGAGGGAAATACTGTGTGCCTCGTGCCTTCACTCTAAGATTGGTGTGACCCGAAGCCTCCACCCCAGGACCTGTGCTGGGTCCTGCACTGACCAGTGCCTCATGCAGAGGAATGCATCAGTGCGAGTCCCAGTGTTGGGGGGCACAGCAGCTGAGTAATTTCCAGTGCCCTATGCCTCCAGGCCTGGACCATGCTGACCCACGCTGGACATACCTTGGCTCCTGCCCCCACCTCTCCCTCCACCTCATCCTGAAATGTGCCTCTTCCTGAAGCATGGGTCAGTGTGGATCTGGACGAGGGGGCACAGGGCACCAGGGATTCCCTGGCATCTGTCATTGCAGGACCTGATGTGAGGCAGAGAGGGACAGGAAACACGTCACCTGTTGTCCTGCATCAGGCAGGAGACCCAATGTGGGACAATGGGCAATGTGTGTCATTCAGTAAAGCAGATCAGTGTCTAACGTGATCCCTTTCAATTTGGCAGTGTCTGTTGCTAGGCTTAGACTAGGTGAAATCTTAATGAACTTAAAATTCCTGTTGAAGTGGTTTTAAAGCCTTCTGGAATGGATTAATTGTGTACCTGGAAAATCAAGTGCTGATTTGAACCAGTTCACTGTACTTTGGTTTAGCAGACACCAAATGGTCTGTGACATGGGTCAGTCCTCCAGACACCCCACGTTGCATTGTTCCTCCCACCTCCTCCCCGCTGCCCACTGCTGTAACTGGTTACTGTGGTATTTGGCCAGAATAATATTGCCTTCATCTTTTTTCCCTCCTTTATTGATTAGCTCTGGTCAACTCGCCCACTGTGAGACATCCTGGGCTGGGTGCTCACTCTGCCCCAGTCCTGGTTGTCAGAACCACTGCACTTCAGTGCGTAAAGGATAACAGTCTTACACTGAATGCTAGGGCACTGTATGTGTGGGCACCTCTGACAAACAACAGTTGTGAACCAGTCCCCAATCTGTGACATTTTGGAACTGTTCAATTGTTGAGTTTCAACCCCATAAGAACACAAGAACATAAAAACTGCCATACTGAGTCAGACCAATGATGCATGTAGTCCAGTATCCTATCTCCAACAGAGGAATAAGTCAATGCTATAGGAGGAAAGCATTAAACCGTAGATATATCTAAAGTGATATTTTCCTTATTCCCATATTCATTACCCTACCTGCCATCCACCAGTACTGGTTTAGAAATGCCATAGGACCCATTTAATAATTAATACATATACTAAGCTCGATAGTATTACTCTATTAAAGGATCTAAATGAACAGGATCCCAGTGCTGGAGAGATGTGGCAATTGACATAATATAAACATTGTACCTTTTTCCAAAGGCGGTGCAGTTTGCCCCAGCCCTGAAAGTGTGGAATCAGAAAAAATATATGCCTTAAACTTTGATTATTTTAGTTATAAGATGACATAACCGCTTTGTGGAGAATTGCTGGCTCTGTATAGTAGAACAGATAAGAGAAAGTGTTTGTTCTTTGTAACTCCTCTGCAACTGCTTCGCTCACCGCGGCCTTGAAGATAGCAAAAAAGTATGTACAAATCTGATTTCCAGGTGCAAGAAGGAGGTTTGTGAACTAACCTTGCCTCCCCCATTAGTTCCCATCCTGATTACAGCAAAGAAATAATGAAGTAATATTATAGCCGCTTTTCATGCTAATTTCACTATATGATCACATGAGTTGTAAGCAACTGTTAAAAAATATATAAGCCTCCTGATTTTGCTCTTGGGTGGGGAACCCCTTCCAAGTGCTTGGGAAATCCATGTCACTTTGGAATCCCCCCTACAGCTGTAGTCTCTTTTGAATAAAAGCTTCTGCTGACCTGACCCAAAAGTATGCTGCGTGTGTTTCCACGACAAAAGCAACCACAGAATCAGACATGAGAACTCATTAGAAGAGATGTATAAACAAGGCATTATTGCATGCAGTGTCACATTGGGGAAAAAATAGATATAAAACTTCAGTGTGCTGTAATTAATAACCAAGACAGACACTGTGATGGCTTGTGTCTCAGAGGACCACACACTTATCAGTCTTTGATATTTCTTAGATCACTGTTGCTGACATAGTTTTGATACTAAAGAAAACTTTCCC